CCTGAGGACTGTCTGTACATTATTTGATAAAGCAAGTGTAGATCTTTTCTTGCACTTAAAAAAACTCAATTCAGTGGTAGCAAAAACCGGTACTGTAGGAATGCCTTCTTTCAGTCTGTTGGGACTGGTAGACAAGATTTGGAAAATACAAGTATCAGATTTAAATGAAAACTCATGAAACATGATCTTTTCTGTGATAGCAACCTGAGAGAGATTTTTATAGCTGAAAAGATAAATGCTTTTAGTCTCCGATGTGCTCTTCCTTTCATTTCTATGACATCAGCTGGGCTATCTTGCTGAAAAGTACATTCAGAATAAATTAAAATGTGCTCAAATTAGTAAGATTAATAATATTTCTATTTCTTGTTTTTGAAGATTAGACTTAAGATATAAGTTGCTTTTCTCAGCAGCAGATCTTGATGTCAAACAACCTTTGTAAAACTTAAAGAAATAGTAACTTACTTCCACTTCTGCCATGAATGCCTCTAGTGGGTCATCCTCACTATCTGAGTCAGCTGGTTTGGAATGGAATTGCTGACGAGTTGGAGAGTTTTCAGCAGGAATGTATGGCAAGTCAACGTTATTGGAATCTTCCTCCTCATCTTCAAAGTACCTAATAATTGAATGAAAAATAGAGAGAAAAGGAATTACATAATAAAGAACCCAGTCATCAAAAAGCCAGCAGCATAAGAAAGAAAAACTTGGTTTCCAGTTTACTGCATCTTTAAAATGTTTTATATGTCTAGCAGTTAAGCAACTATCACATCCTAACTATTCATTTATATGAGCTGGGTGCAGTCCAGGCTGGATTCAAGACTTTTGTGCCATAGTGCAACTTAAAAATAATCACATAAGTTAAATAGGTCATACTGATTCTACTGGTTGTTAAAAAACCAAGGCTACATCCTTCATTGGTGCTCTATTTTGAGATATTGTTAGGTAACACAACTATCAAATTTTGGGAAGTATATCTTTATTGGTATGTGCAAAAAATAGGAGCTTACGCATTCTCTTCATCAAAATTTGCTCGTTTAGATCCAATCTTGTAAAAGGAAGGCAACTGAGGCGGTGGTGTCTTCCCAAAGCCAGCAGAACCAGTGGCTCCAAAAGCACTATGGGATTGCTGTGGGAGCTTGGGTTCCTCCTTCTTTCCAGATGATATCGAGAAGCCACCAAAACCAAAGCCCCTCTTAGTGCCAGGACCACCTTTGTTCCAATTCATGGTGCCAGTAATGTATCTAATAAAAGATGAAATCAAATATAAAACCACTTATCCATTTAAAAGATAAAGAAATAATGTTCATATGAAAAAGTAACAAATATGGATTAAGTAGAAAAGTCTGATTTAGATAGGCAAATAAGTCATTACTTTTAACAACTACCACCATACCTTAAGAAGTTTCATCAAGGTAAATACCATCATAATATTTATTACAGGACATCACTTTTAACGGCTCAAAATAGGCAAATTAAAGCTTAATTTAATGGAAGTATTTTGTTTACTAAGATAGGGAATCTATTTTTGTTAAGGATTTACACAATTGCTTTTTTAACCATTGTTACCATATGTTAACCATTGTTAACCATATGTTAACTAAAATCAGACAATGGAGCAACAATCCTTTTGAGAGAGGAGGAGAAGAACTAAAGGTGGCTTTTCTTGCCATTGAATAAGAAGAACCGTTCTTATTAAAGGGGAGGTCAGGACTTTTTTTTTCTTGCTGCTTTCCTTTTCAATTAATTCTGTATAAAGGAAAATGACCACAGTTTCCTGCTTATTTGAGGTGGGAAACAGACAAAAGCTATACTGTAAGCTTCTAGACAGTTTTTAAAAAATAAACTCCATCAAATTCCCAACAATAAGCTAAATCAGAGTTATTTGCTTTGCTCAATTTCATGTACTTTTCTACTTTTTAATGCACTTTTAAATAGTCAGCCTTGGCTGCACGTTGCATGATCAGTTGTTACAGTTGTGGATGTGATGTTGTTCAAAATGTAGAAAACGTGTGTTAACTAAAGGACGAAACAAAACTCCTGTTTAAATCACTTGTTTTGTAAGAAGAATGTTGCTTATTGATACGTATTGCATCATTAATGATATAGATAGGAAAGGCAATGAGGTTTCATTAAAGCAACTTGCCTCACCACAATAAGAGAATTGTGGTCTTAATTATCTCCAAATAATAATTGTTTTTATTTATATTTAATTATTTAAGTGGTTTTATAATGTTTTGTTTGTTTTATTGTACGCCGCCCAGAGTCACCTTGTGTGAGATAGGCAGCCATATAAATTTGATAAATAAAAAAAACAAAACAAACTTTGCCAGCCTTTTGTTCCTTCTTATTTGCTTCTGCAATGAATTAGGAGGCTGGATTCACTGCAGCTAAGGCCTCCCTTGAGTTATCTGTTTCTTGCCATACTACTGACACAGCTGCAACAGAGCAGTGACAATCCTGAAAATTTTTCCATCACGAAAGCCTCTAGGTTTTTTAATATGCAGTGGTCCCTCATCTACCTTCTTCTCCCATTCCCACCGAGGATTTCTCACTCAAGCTTAAATAATTTAGATACTTATATAATAAATTGTGTCTCACTTATTAAAATCTAGGCTGCTAATATAAAAATTAGCAACTATATTATTTCATTTATTAAATTTATTATCATAGACTAAAAGAGTCACTTTACAATTTAGCATAAACCTATGACCAAGAACCCACAATCATTTGTCTTTAGGAAGAAATGTTTTTCTTTAAGGAATTAACCCAATAGTAGTTAAGATTTTTTTTTAAAAAGTCGTACGTTATCTACATTAGCTTCCCCTTCCTCATCAAACTGATTTTATATTCTCTCTTACTCACCTCGAGACGGGCCAGAGGCCTCGGCCGGAGACACAAAAACGAGGTCACCTGATGGAAGAAAAAGTGAAAACGATGAACTCCAAAGGCTTCCGTACCCCGACTAGGCCTCAGCCCCGCCCCCTCCTCTTCCTCCTGAACCAACGGCCAAGAACGGAAGGCCTACGCTCTCCTCGGGCCCTTTCCTTTGCCTCTTTTTCTGCTTCTGCTCTTTTTACCTACCGTTTATTATTCAGGTATTCGGGGGATCTGTCTTCCCTCCTTCCCTTCACTCGGTTGCTACAATGTACAAACGAGGGGGAAGACGTTGACTGCTGAGATGACCGTGACGTAAAGACGTATAATAGACCGGCAGTGCTGCTCTTGAAGGGCCCTTGCAGGAAGAAAAAAAAAAAACAACCGGGGGCCTTTACTCTGCCGCGCGCTCCTCCATGACGTCACAGCAGTGATAAACTCGGAAGGGGTGGAACGTAGAGTTAGAAATTATAGAATAGCGCAGCGAATGCCTTTTTTTCGCTGTGTCTACAAAAATACAGTTTTGCCTTATTTTTTTCATTGTTAGAATCTGTATAGATTCCTCGTTGATTCGAGATCATTTCATGAAGGAGTATGAAAGGGCAGGATGAAAACAATGTAACCCAAGATGCATACAATTGAATTCCGAGTTGGTGGGGGTCCTGCAAAAGTGCGGGAAGCGGGAAACTAATGTTTCTTGTGGCGACATTGGCAAAACCAAACAACTTGCTTTTTATAAAAATTAGAAAATGAAAACAAATTGTTTTGCCCTTTGCGTATGATACATTTATTTTTCGAGTGAACGCACACTGCTTTCCTAATGCATTCCACTAGAAAGAAAAAATGGGGGCTGAACTAACAGAAATACCATCTCTGAAAGTAAGTTCCGTTGAATTTTTAAGACTCGAGCTTTGCTTGTTTCACAATGAAGTTCTGGAATCCTGAATGATCATGACAGCAATAGAAAACTTTCCATGGTATATCTTTGGAGGCTGGCAGTAACCAGCCAATCTTTGATGAAGTATGGCGGTGTTTCTCAACCTTGGCATCTTGAAGATGTGTGGACTTCAACTCCCAGAATGCTTGGGAATGGCTGGCTGGGGAATTCTGGGAGTTGAAGTCCACACGTCTTCAAGATGCCAAGGTTGAGAAACACTCAACTTCGGTGTACCTGGGAAATTTTTAGACAAGATGACCATGGGAGCTCTCAGCACTGGGGGTGGCTGGTAGCCTGAGGATGCTGTCTCCACTTTTTTTAGGTTGTACTGTAGTTTTAACTTTTTAGCTTAATTTTAACCTTTTGTAGTTTTTAACATATATTTTTTCTAGGATTTTATAGTTTTTTTCTGTAACACTGCCTAGAGTCACTTGTGTAGTGAGATGGGTGGCATATATAAATTTGAAAAACAAACAAATAAATAAATAAACGTTAGGAAAGATCAACAAGTATCATCAGTTGATGGCATAAAATGTTATGGTACGGGAAGATAAATCTCCGTTTTTAAAAACAAATGGTGGGAGAGACAAACTTAACTGAACTTGACTTTTTTTCACCATTAGAATCCAATATAAAAAGTGCCAAGTACACCGCGCACAGCATTGCCCGCACCCTAAGCCACTGCCACTTGCCTGCAGAAAATATGATGCATATTTCTCCAGAACAAGCAAAATCTCAGCCTTCCTTTCCTCTCTCTTTCTAATCGGCTAAATCATCAAAACTTCATCAAGTCGCAAAGAACGTTGCCAGGATTTGGAGGCAGCCAGGCATCCTTTTACGGCACGTCCGCTAGCCGAGCCACGACCTCAAAGTTAGCCCCCTTCCAACCTCCCTTCCTTCTCGGCTGCAAGGCGCATGCGCTGATTTACGCAAGTGACGTACCTTACGGAAAGCAACGGCAGGGGGGAACAGCCACCCTAGGATCGTTCAACCTAGCCGAGGAGCGAGCGGCCTTGGGGGCGCTGAGAGACTAACGCTGGTCTGAGGTATCGAGCGGGAGGGTTGGAGGTCTAAGAGGTACGGAGGGAGGGAGCTGTCTCTTGTGGAGCTAAATAGTAAGGTAAATAATAATTTGGTTCCGTCACGAGGAAAGGCGTGGACATGGCCCGGCCTGGGAGCGGGGGAAGAGCCCCTAAGTTGGCTTTACGCGAGGACGGGCTGGGCTGCTTCTTCTCGCAGGTGCGTGGCTGGGCCTGGGGCACTACTGAAGCCAGCTTTTCCCAGCTCGTTCCCTCCAGATGGCCTGGACTGCAACTCTTAGGAATCCCCGTCACCGTGGAGAGCTAAAGGTGATTCAGTCTATCTGGAACAGACTCCGTTGGAGAGTTGGCTTAAGCTCCGAGGGCACATCTACAATCTCTCCCCTGCGGTCCAGGTGTAGCAAAGCGAATTTCCTCCTGGAAATACTCGTCATTTCCACCACTTTTTAGGTCCCTTTTGCGTATGTAGGCCAGTCCTATGAAAATTTTTCACAGACATCCTGCTAAACTGAAATAATAAAAAGGGAAACTGTTGGAAAACTGGTTTTCAAGATGTATAGTGAGTATAGATGGGCAGGGAAATTGTGTGTATAAAGCTGAAAAACAAAAACAAAACCACCTCAGATTCCTGCTGTTATATTGCAGCAGTAACTACAACCTGCTCTACGCAAGTGGGTAGATTTTTTTGTGGTGGTGATAGTGCTAGAAACACTGATATGTCAAATCTGTCATGCACTTAGAAATTCGTTCCTGGCTTATTGAAATTTAACACTGGTGCTTCTCAGGTGTGTCAAACTATAGCTTCCATTAACCATACAGAGATTAGGCAGCCTGATGTCTTCCAGGAGTTATGGATTTCAGTTCCCAGTGGCCTTTGTTAGCATGGACAGTGGTAAAGAATTGTGGGAGCTGTATTTCAGCATCTAGAAGGTACCTACAGTATCATTAGGCCTTTGCTCAACTATGGATTATGGAAATTGCAGCCAACATGCTGAGGGAGGTTGAATTACTTGAATAAAAGAGTATGATACATTATCTATTCAAATCAAGCACGTACTAGTGCCAAGACTACTGGGAAACCATGTTGTTTTTTTTAGTAGAATCTAGTGGTCTGTTAAAGAATTATTTTTTGAAACAGTGGCCATTGAATAACTAAATATAGTGCTCTGCAGTAGCTAGATACTTGCACGTGTAAGTTGTTGAGCCAATATGATGATCTGGTTGTTAGCTCAGATCCCAATTCAAATTACAACTTGGTTACAAAGGTCACTGAGTTGGACTGATTCCTTTCCATCCCCTCTCCTCTTTTCTCATTATTTCATATGCTGTCATTATGTTATATTGGTCAATGATTCAAGAAATAGGTTTTATAATTTACAAGAAGAATTTTAAAACAAGAATTTGTGAGAGTTGCTACTTTTTCAGTGACAAAGCTAAGGCATATACCAAATTTTAAAAGGATAATTTAATTGCGTATCATTTGATTCTGATTATTTTTAATTTTGTTCTGGTTTCACTCTTTTCCATATTATAATGACAAATAGCAAGATAATAAAATCATTGTTGGATTGAGTGGGTGAGGGAGAAAAGAATGATACACAGTTGCATATCTCAACCCTAGCCCAAACAAGCAATTCCGTCAAGGTTCTGTTGGTGTCTGGAGGTGTGAGAGTCTGGACAGGAAGGAACAGGCTGAAATTTAACTCGAGCAAGACCAAGTGGCTTTGGGGACCATCTAGATCTGGATATCTTCCATTTTTAGTTTGTATGGGCTGTATAGACAACTGGTGCACGGTTTGGGGGTCCTTCTAGTTTCTTGGCTCCTGCTTAAAGAGCAGGTGGCAACCATGGCTAGGAGGACCTTTGCATAAATTCATGTTATGTGGCAATTGGCCCCATTACTTGATCAGGAGACCCTGTTCATAAATCACTCATGCCTTAGTGACATTGCATTTAGACTATTGCAGTGCACTTTACATGGGGCTTTACTTGAAGAACACTCAGAACTCCAGCTAGTCCAGAATGCAGCTGCATGGGTAGTTATGGGTACACCTGGGTATCCTTGTGTGATACCACTATTACATCCACTGCACTTGTTGCCAGTGGGCTTCCAGGTACAGTTCAAGGTTCTTGTAGTCACTTGAGAAGTCCTTCATGGCACAAGGCCTGGATATTAGCAGGATCATTTGTCTCCAATTGTCTGTGCTTTTCCAACAAAACCTCACAGGGTTGGCATGCTCCAGGGCCCATCAATTAAGCAGTGTCATCTCATGGGATCAAGGAGGCATGCATTCTCTTTTGCCAGGCATTCTCTGTCACCATGCCTTCCCTATGGAATAACATTCCCCTTGAACTTTAGATGGTCCCAACCCTGCTGGCCTTGAAGAAAGGCCCTTGAACATACTGGTCAGAATGTTATGCAAGCCAGTAATGCTTTGAATGTGAGTTGCACTCAGTGTGATGTTTTTAATGATTTCCTTTGTATTTTTAATTTTTTAAAAAAATTCTGTTAATTGTCCAAAGTTGCATGGCAAGTGGGCAGCCATACAAATTGAAATAACATACAAATAAATTATATTTTTGGAGTACAGGCAGAATAGGTTTGTATTATTTGCATTCAACATGAGACAGATAGTTTGGGTCTGGCATGGTATACTTGTTAACCTATTAATGTTTACCTAGATAAGCCATGACTTTTTAAAGATGCTGGTGAATTGCACAGTAAGCGTCTCTACGTCAAATGAGAAGCATCTACCCTGCTTCAAGTCATCTCAAACTGATATAATACAATTCACTAATTCCAGCAACCAGATTCAGGATGGGAATCCTTTCGTTGGTTGTTAAAACATTAGGAATTAAAATAGTATGGAGTCACTGCTAACCTATTATCCTCAGCTACAATATACCAAGAGATCCTGTACTACCTTCTGCCCACCCCCTATCAGTGGGAAAAAGTAAAGGCACATATGTAATTAGATTAGGGTTTCTTGCAATAATGAGCACTCTGAGTAATCTTAATCTTCATTTTATTTCTGTTAATGATTCTATCCTCTTTAAAATTTTATTTCATAGGTTCCATGCTCCAAGTTTAAATGCGGCAATAATTTTGTTGTCTCATCTCATTTACTGATACTAGAAGACTTACAGGAATGGGCCATTCACATGTTACCTCACTATCAGAATTTGGGTGCTGATTTCTGATAACTCATACCCCAAACTTGAGACACTGGACCTAAGATGCAATTCAAAAGAAACTCTTTCTTCTTCATTAAATGCACACAATTAGTGGTTGTCTCTTCAATTTTAAATGGTTCATATCCTGAAGGCTTAGTTGTATAGAATTCTAACTCCTTCATTGCTCAAAAGATAGCCATTATGTACAGCCAGCTGTTTAATGTTTGTTTATTTTTGATGCCTGTATTGTGCTACAAGGCAGGTTAGAGGTGGATAAATAAACAACAAGCATCATTTAAACCCCAGATCAACCACACATTTCTTTCAATGATCCCTAGGACTAGTTAATTCTTCTGCTTATCCTTTTTCATAAGGCAATTGTGAGGAAAACAGAGAATCTGGGATACGAACCATATTATTTTATTTGTAACACATCTGCTGATCTGCCCACTTGAGTTAGTTTGGCATTTCAAGGAAAGTATTTCAAATTCTTCTCCGGGTTCCTCTTGTGTATCTCCCTGATCATAAAAACTTAAATGACAGATAAGATAGAGGGACCACTCTAATGCTAATTTTAGAGTGCCCAACCCAGATTAGGAAACCTCCTAAGGAGTAACTCCTTATAATTATGAAATAAGGGAAGGTTGAAGTGGTGCAAAAGGAGATACTGATAGTTCATAGTAATATCCGTCCATAATGTCCAGTGATAGAAGGTTTTGTATTGAAATACTGTTTTTGAACTACTGCCTCAGACAACAGCATGTGTACTGCAGCAGCAAGGTAGGCAAATTTGCCATATAATGATTATAACACAATAAAGCATTTTGCCTTGAGCTACAGCAGCTTTACTAGCAGTTCTAGAATTCTTTACCTTTCTGGTTAAATTAAAATGTGGATTAAGATTAATAAGTCACTGAATGTAGTTTAGAAAGAATAGTCCCAAGTCCAAGATTGTACACTGAGCAGGACTTGCATATTATTACAGTGATTCTCAAACTGATCTGTGCAATATCAGTTGTCCATTGCAGCTGCTCCTTTGTTCACTAACTAAAGCTGTTTGCTGCCTTGGCCCTTGCCTATCCATGTTCACCACATCAGCCCACCAGTAGTTAATTTTGGATTAATGATTTTGCTACAAAATTCTGTTTAGAAAGGTCTTTAAAATTGGAGAAGACGGGAAGACATTCACAAATGCAACTGTAATATTTTAGCTGATGAATTCCCATTATTTTATGAAATAATAGGGAGGGGTTGTTGCTTTAGTCTGGTGATCTGTTCATGTTCCAGAATTTTCTTTATTAGTCCACAATTGCAGAAAGTTTGAGAAACAATGCACTAAGTGCAGGAAGGATTGTCATATCATTGAAATTATTGACTTTTGTTTGGGATAGCATTTAGTATTTGTGAAGAGACACAATGAGTAGAGTGTGTGGATAATTGTACTTAGAGGGAGACTCAGGGCCACAAAAAAGTTCTTGGGTCCTTTATTGCCGCTCCTGTCCTAAAAGTTTATTTCTCAACATTGAACATTTTAATTAGTAGCAAATAATATTGGAGGATTTCTCAAAAATATGATCTTCCAAGTATGATGAAAGATGCCCAGAACTTCCAGAATTCAACACCTGGAAGGTCACATCTTGCCCTTCTTATTACAGAGAGATTGTTGTCTTTTCATGTAATGCTAGAGTAAATTCAGGATGGCTAAAATAAAGTATTTATTCTATGAAATGCACAATTAATTATTGGGGTTTATTTTCACAACTTATTGCAATTCCTGTTAATTTAAATGGTTTTAGAAAATTTGTGGAAAATTTGTGGAAAAGATCTCTCTGAGTAGCTAGCAATTATCCTATACAGCAGCCTTTCTGAAACTGGCTCTCTCTAGATGCTGAACACAGCTGGGAATCCCAGGAGTTGTAGTTGAACGGATCCGAAAGATACTGACTTGGGAGATTGCCATAGTGAACTCAGTGGTTCAAATACTGTTCCTTAGATAGGCAGTATAGCCTTATTCATACTTGGAGAGAGGTAGAACTTCAATAAATCTTTATGGGAAAAAAGGAAAAGTCCAAGCAAGGGCAGAACATACTTAGTGGCCATGGAATGATAGCTTATTGTTGGGAAGAGGCTATTTGCAACATTTTATTGTAAGTTTTGCTTGCTAATGATAAATAACAAATTCACTGAAAGTTCATTTTGCTATCAATCCAGCCTATCTCCCAAGGTTGTTTTTGTAAAGAAAAATGGAAGAGGGAGTACTAGATGCGCCACTCTGAGCTCCTGGAGGAAACTTGTGATACTAATTTATCATTGTTATTACATTGATTAGATTTGTTGGATGTGTATTATATTTTTGAAAATACTATGCAAGATGACACACAATTACAAATTGTGATACAGTACTCTTTTTCTAATTTGTTTCAAACTGACAGGTAATTACCCATTTTTACACTGCTGTATCAGAAGAAAATAAATATTTTGAACTTGAAAGATTTTGTGCCTTTGCTGTTTTTTATTTATTGAGCTTTTTCTCCCCCAGCAACAATGAGAAGTTGGTGGTTTTTCGTGGCTGCTTTCTTTATCCCATGGGGTCTTTCTTTGGCCAAATTTGAGGAGTTTGATGATGATGACTTAGTGGAATATGATGATAATGACTTTGCTGAGTTTGAAGATGTGACTGAAGCCACAGAATCTCCCCAGCGGATTGCTACTGCAGAAGAGGAAGAGGAGGAAGCCACAGTAGAACTTGAAGGACAAGATGAAGGTCTTGATTTTGAGGACACTGATGGACAGGTGATGTGAGATGAAGGGCTTGTCTTTTTTGGTGCAAGGAGATAAAAATTGTAAGACTGACTAATAGGAAACCCAGTTATTTTGTATTTTCTTTTATTTGTATATATGTGTAGACAAGTTTCTTGTATCATTTATATTTTTAAAAAACTTAAGCCATTCTACGAAGCTCAACATGCTTAAGACTAAGTAAAACAAACATGGAAACAAGATAGCATCAGTGTTAATCAGCCACTTTTGTTGGCAAAATAAAGTTTTTGATTAAAAAAAAATGGCAGGGAAACTTTTGGAGAGTATCACAGGATGCTGGAGCTATAATGGAAATGATTCTATATTCTTTGTAGTCCCACCTGTTATATACATAATTATTGTAATCTAAGGAATTCTGGAGCAGCAGATAGCTCCACACACATGCCCTTCAACCTATAAATCAGGAGTGGGCAAAATATTTGTAGCCAGAAGCTATATTTTTAAAAATTATCTTTTTGGCTCCAAGGGCTGCAAGAAGAACAGCAGTGATATAAACAAAGGAATGGGGGTCAGATTTTTGGCTCTTTAATGGAAGTTGTAAGATTTAAAAAAAAATCAAAATAGATACTTTAGGTTTACCAGAGATTTAATGTAACTATTGTATAGCTTATTTCATGTAAGAAAAAGGGGTGTCAAAAATCAGCAAACTCTGCTGAATTCTGATGGCACAATCTTGGGGGTTGGAGACCATATGTAGGTTGTGGGTTGATATATCTGTTGTAGGTAAACAGAGTGTGGTGCACATACTTAAGATCTGTCTGGATCTTGCCTGCAATTTGGCAAGTATTCAGCCTTACTGGATATAGACTTTGCAGCAGACTTTTCCATGCTTACAGAGCGATCCTATACATGATCATTCAGGAGACGATCCCACTGTATTCAGTGTCACATGCTTCTAGCTAATAGGATTGTAATTTATATACTGCAAATTTGTATTTCTTTTTTGCATTGCAGCTGAATTTACCAGGCCAGAGCATCATGTATATCATATTCAAACAGCTGAGCAGCTTGTGAGCTATGTACAACTTTCCAACGTGCAATTTATGATCTTCCAATAGCCTATGATTATATCACTGAAATTCTGAAGCAAAATAGATAATTTTGGCTGTGCAACTTTTCACTGTAGTTTTTTGTTTGCTTTCAAAAATAAGGGAGGTAATGAATAAAAGAGGCTTCTGGGAAGTAAGCTGATCCTATTTTCATCCTTAACATCCCCCAGCCCCACATCTGAAATGGCAAAATTTCATCATTTTGCTGCCAAATTTTGGTGGCATAATTTAAGATTACTTTGGGGTGTTAGAGATTGGAAGCACACAAGAATGGAAATGGGAGTGGTTTATCTTCCATTCCTACCATGAAAATGTAAACAAAGGGTCCAAAAACATTTGGCCAGACCCCTTCTCATATGATACCATATCACTGGATGGCTTCTTGTAGTCTTACAGAGCTGAATTTCAGTGTTCAATCACTCAGTGACTACCTATGCTGAAGTAGGAAATCCTAATTAGCTGATGTGTCCTTGGCATATCCACGTTTTCTTGCATGGGCATTCATATTGATGTGCTTCATCTTCAGCTGTATTCATAGCCAATTTTTTTGTGCATACATCACTCTTTGATCAGTTTCACCCATGTGATTGAATCAGTTATCAGTTACCAGAGATTTACATGCTGTCTTTAAAATAGGAAAAGCAGAGAATAGCTGAATGTTTAAAAGAGAAAGGTGTTTAGTGTCTCATTTTCCTGAAATGATGGATATTTCTGTACATTTTGCTTTCTTATTGTAGGAAGGTGATACAGAAAGTGAGCCATATGATGATGAAGAATTTGAAGGTTATGAAGAAAAACCTGATGCATCTCTTGGCAAAAATAAAGATCCTATTACCATTGTTGATGTAAGTGAAGATTATGAGATTTTAGATGTAGTCTCTAATTAATGTCTCGTAATACTTTTTCTCCTAAATTTTTATAATTAAGGCTGCAATCACAAATGTTTCTGTCCTAGATTAAGCTCTATTGTGAACTGAATGGAGTCTCTCTCTCTCCCTCCCTCCCTCAAAGGGCCTGTGTGCATATATGTGTGTGTGTGTGTGTATTCATGCTAATTTATGTTTTTCCTCTGCCCAAACTCTTCAAAAGCACCAGAATTTTTCCTGATAGACTTTTATTGGTTGGTGGATGGAGCTGGCAGATGGAAGTGGGCTTATTCCATGGGTAATTTTAAATCCTGGTAAATACTGATGTAGACACATTAATAGTGTCACTATGTATTTGGACTTCAAGCATCCACACATTGCTATTTAGCTATAAAGCCTCGTGGGATTATAGTAAATCATAAATATGAACTGAATGACATAGTAAAATCAGATAAATTTTAAAAAAAGCATTCCCAGCTGCTGAAAAGAATTATAGGAAAAAAAACCCAGAAGAGAATAAGTTTATGAGAAGAAAAGATTATGATGATTTGGTATTTTCTCTGTGCCTGGAGTTTAGAATTGTTGATTGCTAAATGAATAAAACCTTAAAAGTTTATTATAATTTGAAGCCAAAGTTTGGGTTGGGAATGGGTTTTTTTCCCCTAAATGAAATTACTTTTAACAAGGTTCAAATTCATCAGGTCCCTGCCCATCTTCAAAATAGTTGGGAGAGTTACTACATGGAAATTTTAATGGTGACAGGACTCCTTGCTTATATCATGAACTATATCATTGGAAAGAATAAGAACAATCGTCTGGCTCAGGCCTGGTTCAGTAGTCATCGAGAGCTGCTTGAAAGTAACTTTGCACTTGTTGGTAAGTTGGTTTATGATTTATCCTTACCTTCTCCCTACTTTTTCCTATGGGAACAAAATTACAGACAAGGTCCAAGGATTCTTAGCATTAATGCTGCTCAGGGTGCTATATGTGATAGTGTAGCTTATCCAGGCAGAGGGCTTAGAAACAGAGAACGTTAATTGGTGTGCAGAATTAATCAAGTCTTTAAATTTCCTTCAGAGCTTTTCTGCTGCTTGACTTGAATTATCAAATGTATGGAATCAGCATGAATGAGCGTGAGAGAACTAGTTTGGGGGGATAGCAAAAGGAGGAACTGAGACATTGAACAGGGAATAATGGAAGATAGAAATGGCAAAATTGGAATAACATTGCTCAGACATTATAGACTATAGATTATAGAAGGAATAAGAGGCAGAGCAAAGTGAAAGAGAGAAACAGTTACTATAAAGGATAGTGGCAGTCAACGTCATACCATCACAAAGGGTGTATTGCAATAACCTGCTCGCACTGGGATGTCATCAGTGGTAGCCCAGCATAAATAATAAATGCCCATTAATTGACATGCCCTTTCTTTCAAGGTGATGATGGCACGAACAAAGAAGCCACAAGTACGGGCAAATTGAACCAAGAGAATGAACATATCTATAATCTGTGGTGTTCCGGTAGAGTGTGTTGTGAGGGCATGCTTATCCAACTCAAGGTATAAGAAATTCCAAATGTGCCAGTGGACTTTCATTATCTTGCAGTAAACTAGCAAGGTTACTTGAATGCCAGTTGTTTGGAAATAGCAGCAATATTACTTTTCTCTATATTGAAAAAGGAAATCTGAGTTAACCTGAAATGAATGTTTGTGTTGCAGCAATGTTAAAATGTTAGAAATGTTTAAAACGTTGGAAATCAGAAGAAGTTATTTCACTGACACTGGAAAAAAATTCAGAGTAGATGACAGACAAGGCTTTCTGAGGACAAGATTCTGAAAGCCAAGGTTTTATCTGCCAGGATCTGTGTTGAGAATCTCAGACTGTAGGCTCATAAAGTGAGCTGTCAAGTACAGCATTAGTCTTAAAGATTCAGCAGCGTATAAATTGAATAAATAAATACCCTGTACAAACTGTAAAGGGCTTCAGTGATCAAGGCTGAGCTTTGTGTTGGAATGAGAGAGAGCTAGTGCAGTTGGCAAAGCACTGGTATTGTATAACTAGTCATAGTTAGCAAAGGTATCTGAATTGCAATATCTGAACTGTGTTCAGAGCACTCCCACATCTGCTGCACTACTGTAGTCCAATCTGGTGACTATAGTCCAAAGTGGGATTACAGCTGGGCAGATGTGTTAGGTGCAGGTTGTTGTAAAGCAAACTGAAGAACTGACTGCTTAGAGCACTTCTCCTACCCCACCCCCATTTTCATGAAGAACATGGAAACTGATTAAATAAAACTTACATCCCCTATCACACTTCATTACTTCCTCCCTGAAGGGAAGTGATAAGAAGGAATGACTGTCAGCCTTCCCAGGTAGACCAGACAGGAAACATGACCAGATGAGCTAATTCTACTTTATCATTACAATGACCTAGCAAGATGGGAGTTCCCCATCTCCCATTTTCCCATGGGAAAATGGGAGATGGGGAACTCCCATCTTGCTAGGTCATTGTAATAGGAAACATGACCAGATGAGCTAATTCTACTTTATTGTAAAGCTACATTAAAAGAATCTTGCAAGTCTGAAAGTACAAATTTCCCATTGTTTTCTTTATAGCCTGAGAAGCTAGGGAGGGTCCCTTCTGAGGCTCTTGCTCCACCCACTATCCACCTGTGGGCTCTGCCCTCTCTTATCTGACTGTTCCCTAGACAGCATCTTTTTGCTCCATCTCCCAAGATGCTCTTTCCCACATACAGTACCATTACAATGACCTAGCAAGATGGGAGTTCCCCATCTCCCATTTTCCCATGGGAAAAGGCAGTGTGATGCCAGAGTCCTAAGACAAAATCTTGTACTCTGGTTTTGTTTATTTCAAGCCTTTTCTAGGCATGGAGAGTGTATATAGACCCAGTATATAGTCTGGGAGTACATGGTACAGCACCTTTGCTGAATCTAAGCATATCTTGATCTGTCTGATGTCTGGACTAGAGAAGTTGATTTTAACTATCTGGGTCCTTAACGTATGTCAGTTGCCTTGTACTGTGAAGAAAGAAAAGAAGCATCAAAACATAGTAAAATCAGCAACCAAAATAAACTTCAGGATGTGTCTTTTGCACAGATTTGATATTTTTAATGTAGAGAAGTTTGTAATGTTCATTGAGCTAGGGGGCTCTAGGGGGATGAGAAGTCCTCACACTTTTGCAAACATGGCAAGCTACGCTAAGTTTTTTACTTTTCAGTTTCTCAAGAGACAAGACTTGCTGAATGTTCTTGCACGCATGATGAGGCCAGCCTGTGACCAAGTGGTATGTGTTAATTCTATAATAAAAAATAGCTTTAGCGAATTATATTCATAAAACTGTGTTGATTAGCTTATTAAAACCATAACTCTGTATATGTGATACTTCCACCCTCACAGTAGGAATCACTGCTTTCTGATTTTTTTTCTTATAAAACTTCACAAATTTGTTGCCCATATGGCTGCAAAAATAGACTATTAATTTTTTGACATTTTCTTTTGAGATCCCAGAAGCAGCGGGTGTCTGAGCAGGAATTCAGAGAGTCAAAGCATGTGGGTTTTATCACTGTATCAGTCTGCACCAAAATAAATGTAGGAGAAACAATTATATGCATATATTGGAGACTGTTACTTTTCTTTCTGTGAAATGGCCAAAGTTATTCTGATAGTATACTGTGAATGAGAGTAGGCAACAATACAGGACCCTAATAATACTACAGGTAGTCCTTGGTTAACATCCACTCATTCAGTGACCTTTCAAAGTTACAGTGGCGCTGAACGAGGGGTACTTATGATGGTTCCCTATAGTTGTGGCCATTGCAGCATCCCTATGGTTACATGATTGCGGTTCAGGCACTTGGCAACCTTCCCTGCCAGCTTCTGACAAGGAAAGTCAATGGAAAGCAGGAGGTCACAAATAGCAATCATATGACCACAGGACAGCAACTGGGACTGCTGGAACTGCTGTCATAAGTCAACACAGTCACATGACATCATGTCTTACAGCTGTGTCACTTAGCGATGGAATTCCTGGTCCCAATTACCGTCGGTAAGTGATGGCTACCTGTATACTATAATATACTACACTATAATAATATTATATAGAATGACTCCAAATTATCTTCCAGTTACTAAAATATGAATAACCATATACATGAGATGAGAAACTGCCCTGCCAGTATCTCCTATTTCTCTGCCATTTTAGGGAGCTCTGGGGTTGCTATTCTTTTACTGGGAAAATCCCATACAGGTAGTCCTCGATTTATGACGGTAATTGGGACTGGAATTTCCATCGCTAAGCAATGCGGTCATAAAGTGCGGCATCGCATGACCACATTGCTTAGTGATGGCAATCTTGCCACTCCCTGTTGTCGTCATTAACTGAATTCTGGTCGTTAGTTGAGGACCCATCCCAAGCCATTCCGGGCTTGGTCCCTCCCAGTCCCGAGCCTTGGTAAAGTAAGGGACTGCCTCCTTTTCAACTTCCCTCACCTGCTTATCTTCCCCCCATCTCTGCCCTTTTGGCTGCCCTGTACCCTGTCTTGTGGGGCAACGAGCAACCCCAGAACTGTGTGGCCCTGGGGCTGCTTGCCACGCTACAGCTCAGGGGCTTCTTGGTGTGCCCAGAGCTACAGTGCAGCACAAAGCCACAGCTGCCCCTGGAAGCCTTGGTTGCCCTGGCCCGCTGCATGGCACAAAACTGCAGTACTCTGGGAAGCTGCAGCTGCCCTAGCCAAGCCCCAGCCACAGCCACCCTTGCCACCCTGCACTTCCACGTGAGGCCATCTTCCCCAGGTCTCACAAGGAAACCGCCATGCACAACCTTGGGAAGAAAGCCTTGTGTGGCCAGCAGCTGCCTTGCGAAGGGCCAGGCCAGACATGCTTGGTCAGCAGTGGGAGCAAAAAGACAGCAAAGGTCAGCTAGGGTGGCAGGGGCCGTGAAATGCAGGGGGCCGAAAGGGCATAGATGGGGGGAGATAGGCGGGTGGAGGGAATTGAAGCGCTTCTGAGGTCATAAGTGTAGGCGGGCTGCCAAGCGCCCAAATTTTGATCACGTGGCTGGGGGTGCTGCAACAGCTGTAACTTTGGGGACCAGTCATAAATCCTTTCTCTCAGCACCACTGTAACTTTGAACAGTTGCTGAACGAATGGTCATAAGTCAAAGACTACCTGTACAGTTGAATTATTGTATTTTAGAGATTCTCAGAATAATCTTGGGGCTCTCCTCAAGCATGACCTGTTCTTGGCTAAATGGACATTTGCTACCAAGGTCATTTTATGCTCTTGGCATATGATCAGATCTTCATGTTTTTTCTCAGTACTGTTCTCGTACTAGTGGATCTTCCTGTGCAAAATAACCTATGTGTGCCTATTATTACATCTGTTACTCAGCAAATAAAAGTTACTATGAATGATGATGATATGGATACCTACGTGTTTGCTGTCGGGACAAGAAAAGCCTTGGTACGGCTTCAGAAGGAAATGCAGGACCTGGTATGTACTGGGGCTGTGGGAAGAATTTTAAAGAACTTGGTAGTTGGAGAAGGAGAAGGAGAGGATTTTAAAACACATATTATATGAAGTCTTACAAATGGTCCAGGATCTTAACTATATGTTGCCTTAATACATTGCCTTCTCATAATTAATTGGATACAATCTCTGGATTTACTCAATGTATTTCACCACGGGGGCCAGTCCTCGGCTTATGACTGCAATTAGGACCAGAATTGCCATTGCTAAGCAAGACGATTGTAAAGTGCGATGTCATGTGACTACGCTATCTAGCAACAGCAGTTCCAGCAGTCTTGGTAGCCATTGTTAAGTTAGGACCGCACAGGTTTTTAAGTAAGGACCTCATGTGACTGTGACTTCCAACTTCCTGCCGTCTTCCCCATTGACTTCACTTGTGGAAGCCAGCAGAGAATATCAGAAATCGTGATCACGTGACTGCAGCTTGCTGCAATGTCGTAATCATGAGCCAGGCACCAAGCAGGTGATCACAGGGACACTGCGATGGCCAGAACTCTGAGGACTGGTCATAAGTCTCCCTCATTCAGTGCCATCGTAACTTTGAACGGTCGCTCAAGAAATGGACATAACCCGAGGACTACCTATATTTATATATCAAGGTTCATTGCTACATTAGTACCATTGGCAGATTGCTCTGACTCATATGTCTTATCTTTCTCTTACGCTCTTATATGCCATCTTTCTCTAGTTTGTGACAAGTCTAATTTGCAATGTTAGTCCAGTTAACTAGGTTTACAACTAAATCGGAGCAGGGCACCATTGTGTGGCTTGGGGTGATACTTTAAAAAAAATTATTACAGCTTCTGTGGACATAGGGCCCAGGATGGAAGGGCTTTTTTATGTTTTGGGGGGCTTCAGTGAATATGTATCTTGCTCTTTTTTTTTTTTTTGTAAAATATGTATTAATTCTAGTGGAGTTTAAAACCTCTATTGTAATCAGTTTTTTTAAACATGAAAAATTGTGCTGGAATGTGAGGTCTTTTGTTCCAGGTTTAGAACATCTCACAAATTCTTAAAGGCAGCAAATACTTTCTGTGCAGCTGTCATTCTTTTGATTGAGCATGTTCTTACTCTAGCTATTGAGATCTTAAATCAATTTCAGAGTTTAGATTAGGTTGATTGGGCATTTAACTGTACAGGGACTAGGAGATGTACCTGATAACATGGCAATTTCTTTTTGACAGAGTGAGTTCTGCAGTGATAAACCCAAAACTGGGGCAAAGTATGGGCTCCCAGAGGCACTGGCTATCTTATCGGAAATGGGTGAGGTCACAGAGGGAATGATGGATACCAAGGTAATGTAAAATAGTTAAAACATTTAGGTTGCAGTAATGCTCAGTTCTCATGAGAGCATCAACAGTACAAGTCTGCATATTGCTACGCATTGGAATAGCCTTATTTGTTTTGTTTACTTGTTTTAAAATGAGGGATTTTCTGTCTTAGTTCTGAAAAACTGGGCATTTGGTTTTGGAAACAAGCATATTGGGGGTAGAGTAGAATTGATAAGTGGGTGTTCTGGGTATTGTGATGTTGTACAACCAGCTAAGTCTGAAACAGAGGTCTCCCCAAATCCTGTCCTTGAGTGAAGGTACTGAATAGTTCTGGGTAAATGGATACTCAATCCATTGTGTCTCACTAGATTAGTGATAAATAATGGTTATACACTGTACAGCATTTTCATGGAATCAAAGTCTGACTAGTTCAATCTATCCTTTTGGTGAAAGCAAACCAAATGTTCCTGGAGAATGCTCATTAGCATGATAGGAGTTACATGGTTCTCTACTTTCCAGTTTATGATGGCAGCCTGGTTGTTGTTGTTGCTTTGTTTTTTTACTGTTGATGATGAATTATGCCTTGCCCTATCCCATCAGTAGAAGAAAGCCTTGACATACTTTGCTTGTTTTGTTAATAGGCTCATGGAATCCATTGCTACTTAAAGCCAACATTAGGTGGTTCAATCAATTTGTGAATGATAGGTCTATCAAAGATAATGAGAACTAAATAGAATCTCCAAGTCCAGAGATAGTTTACTGCAGATACTATCACCAGATACCATGGAGGATTTGTGGGACCTTTGCCCTAATCCAGCAGGACTGCTGTTGGGATTATTATCAGAGTACAGGTACTCCTTGATTTGTGACCTTTTGTTCAGCGACCATTCGAAGTTACAACAATGCTGATCGAATGGTGGTTATGACTGGTCCTTGGAGTTCCAGCTGTCCCAGCACCCCCGTGGTCACACGGTTGCGATCTAGGCACTTGGCAACTTGTTTGCACTTATGACCAGATGCAGTGCCTCATGATCACATGATTGCCATTTGCAACCTTACCTGCCGGCTTCCCCAGAAAGTCAGTGGGGAAGCCAGCAGGGTAGGTTGCAAGTTGCTAGGGTAAGTGTCCCCCACCCACAAACTTCTCCAGCCCATCTGTGCTTGCGCCACACCAACTAGTCACACGCCCTGCACACCCTCACTGAGCCTCACTGCACCTCCCTTGCACACCCCCGCACACCCTCCCCGAGCCTCAACACATTCCCTCACACCCTTGTGCGCCCCATTGCACCCTCCCCCTCCTGGCAGTAGCCACTTACCTGCCTGCCAGCCTGCTTCCAAGCTGCCTGGGACTTCCTGGGAAGCTGGCAGGGCCTTACCTAATGACTGTGGGATTCGTTTAACAATGGCAACTGGGACTGCAGGGATTGCCATCGCTAAGTGATGCGGCCACACTTTATGACTGGATCACTTAGTGATGGAAATTCCAGTCCCAATTGCCTTCGTAAGTCGAGGACTACTTGTATGGGTAGTCCTTGACTTATGGCCATTCATTTAATGCCCATTCAAAGTTATGACGGTGCTGAAAAAAGTGACTTATGACTGGTCCTTGCACTTATGACCGTCACAGCATCCCTGTGGTCACGTGATCAAAATTCAAGCACTTGGCAGCTGGCATGTATTTATGACAGTTGCAGCATCCCGGGGTCACATTTGCAATCTTCCCAGGGGGCTTCTGACAAACAAAGTCAATGGGGGAAGCCAGATTTCCTTAACGACTGTGGCAAAAAAGGTCATAAAATCCAGTGCAACTCACTTAACAACTGCATCACTTAGCAACAGAAGTTCCGGTCCCAGTTGTGGTCGTAAATCAAGGATTACCTATTTTTTACATACACAGTGAAGGCGGGGGGAATAGTTCCTCGCCTTTCCCGATGGGAAATAAGCTCCTTTCTTTAATATTCTAAATCTTTTTATTTTGGTAGATGATCCATTTCCTCACACATTATGCTGATAAGATTGAGTCAATTCATTTTTCAGACCAGTTTTCCGGTCCGAAACTTATGCAAGAGTGAGTATGGCACAAAACATGTATTTGTATTTCCAAATGAATATAGCACTGAATTTTACAGAAGGGAAATTGGAGGAGAAATTTAGCCTAAGAACCATGGTATGACATCTATCGTATAGTATATTTCGGGTTACAATATTCATGAGTTGGGAATTCTAATCTGGCTATCCCTTGAGCAATAGAGTATTGTTTTCTAGTATGTTAATAAAGTGTTAGAGGTGTTTGAATAAAGGCATTCAGTAAGATAGCACAGTGTGATACAACTATCCCAACTATTGATACCTATTTTAGCTATTGGAAGGGTAGGCATTTGCAAGGTATTATCTCCCAATTATTGTCCAGATACCATCATAGGGTAAATAATGCTGTATTAAATGTTTACAATATTTAACTACTAAAAATGTTTACTACATTTAATTACAGCAAGGTGCAGGCAAGGATCTGTTACAGCTTGCTTCCTGCTCAATAGATAGGACAAATTGCTATGACAGGTCCTCATATGAAGGATAGCCTGCGTCCCCTTCTGCTGTTCTTTCTGCAGGGGAGAGTCTCTATGATGCTAACTTCTGGGTGATTTAATCTTTTGAGATAATGACAGGAGAAGCTGTTGCCAGATTTCTCCCCCTGGTTTTCCAGTGGGCTTTCTCCCAGGACTCCCTAAGTTCTGTCAGGGTTCTTGCTAGCACCTAGAGGAGGTTGAAAGACAATAACAAAGCTGCATAAATAGTGCCATTTTATTATTATTTTATTGAACTTTTAATAAAATGTGTTAGTCACAAGTGGTACTACCAGACTCTTTTTGATTTTTTGCTACCGTAGATTAACGGTTCTCCTCCTACAATCAACTTATTGCAGGAAGTTTTTGCAGCAATTTAAAATATTGTCGGCTGGCCTTTGTTGTTGGGCATGTGCACCTTCACCCAACATAGGAGCCTATTATGGAGTAACTTTCTAGATATTGCTGTACCACTGTTTGTGGCCATTTTTAAGATCCCTTTACCATCGTTTCTTTTTGTTCTCACCTAGGGAAGGTCAGCCTTTGAAACTGCCTGAAACTAAAAAGACACTGCTGTTTACTTTTAATGGTAAGAATGGGCTTCTGATTTTGAATAGTTTTCCGTAGGGAATGTAGAATTTTGCCCCTGAGAGCTTATTTCAGTATCAGGATATAACTTGTAATTTAT